TAATATTATATACGTATATATTATTAATATATATATATATATATATATATATATATTATTATATTTTTTTAAAAAAAGGTGTATCCTTTGGGTTACAAATGTCACAGTTTTGTAAGCCTTCATATTGCTTATATTTTATAAATGATAACTATGTGGTTAAAGAAATTGTAACCAGTAAGTTCTGGGAAAAACAGTAGGTAAAGCCATAACCTTATTTCTTAGTTAATCCAAAGTTGTATGTAATTCAGAAAAACGTGATTGTGCTAATAAGATAACGCGTTGAGAATCGATGTAGACTGATAAGAAAGCAGTACATGGGTTTCCTAATATATACAACTGAATAGTTTTAATGTTTAAGGTTAGCTTTTGTTATAAAAGTACGTACATTGATTTGTAAGAGAGAGAAAAAGACCCATTTCGACATATGTTATAAAATAAACTGGATTAAACCAGTTAGAATATAGTATTAATACGTTACAGAAATCACCTGTTACGCGGTTAGAAACTGTGAACACGATATATTTTATCTTTTGAGTAAAATCTTTTATTCAAAAGTAAACTCCAGTGTATCTTCGGTTTGTAACATGTGCTGTAAGTTTTGTATTTGCATTTTATAGCCTTCACTAGTGTGCAAAAATAAAAAAATGAATGCCTTCGTAACAGATTATCATTTTTTATTTACATATTAAATACATTTTTATAGGTATATCTTGTAACCAGTCATCATGGCATTAAAACTTTTGCAACATTCCATTTGGAAGAGTTTGAAATTCTAGGATTTCGAACTCGTACAGCTAAGTTGTAGCCTTTTTCTCAAATATCATGAACTTAAGATGTTGGCCAATTAACACGCACAAGATGTAATCACTATTGGTTTGTTATAGAGAAATGTTGTAGATTTTGAAGTTTGTATACGCTGGGGCTATCCCGCGTGTAGACATTGGATGACGTTTCGGTGTCTACGCTGAAAGCCTCAGTTCAGAGGTCGAAACAATATCCACTCTCTGTAGGGCACAGATAGTCTAGTTGCTTTGCGCCAGTAAATGCTAAACTAACACTATAGGCAAATACGATTCGGAAAAGCTTCTATTCAGTAATGAATATCAAGTCTTTCCCCATAGGGTCCCCTGGCGAATGCAATTGCGTAGATTCAACACATTAGAAAACATAGTTTTGTGACACTTGGAAGGCAGAGCCTCGATCATGCTGTTAAATAATATATTTACCCACGTAAATGGTATCCGTTATATTAATTAATAATTTCATAATAAAAAGAGATAAATAAATACAACCGAACGTATAGTTTATAGTAAAATTAAAAAAGAATGAACTTCTACCGGTGGAAAGAGATGGTTTGTTTTTTCGAGTGCCTTTTCCATTTTTATGTTAGCATATTTATATGTGATATAGGACTGACCAATTATTATAAAGAATAAAAGAGAAGAAGAAAATACATAACAGAGAATACTGTATACGTGCGTATAACGTGATATTAGATTATATTTATAGCACTCGCACACACACGTACCGTGTTACTTGTATCGGGTACAAGTACAGATTTTAAACCGTCGAAAGTATTCTTTCTTTACTTCTCAAAGATACGGCCTTTTTTTTTTCTCTTTACAATAACATACAAGTTCAGTAGACCCAGGATTTTACGCTGCGTTTCAACGTTACCTAGAAGCACTCCATTGATGTCACACACACAAATAATCATTAAAAAAAAACGAAATCCATTAAATATTTAACCTGCTGTTTTTCATTTTAAGCCATGTGTAACGGTTAACCCTATTTTTTATTTTGTTACTATTTCTAATTAGTTTTAATTGTGAGATCTTTTAGGCTTTCTCATGGAGGATCACCTAGAAGTAATTATGACCAATAAAAACTATGGAGGATTATATAAAAAATTCAGCTATTGTGTGGAACTACAACATTTAGATAAACTATTTTAATTTAATGTATCTGTGCCATAAACTAGCAATGTGTTATATAGATAACTGAGGCAAATCAAAAGTATTTAAAAAATCCAAGAGTTGTATTTCTTCATAACATCACGAAATAGTGTGTAGTAAATAAATATATTAATATTTGAAGTAACTGGTCATTCGGTACACCTGCTATATTTTGCATGAAAATAACTTGCAAGAATGTTATTACAAGTAAATACAACCTTATTCGTAGATTTTTTGCTTAGTCTTATTTATTTATGTAACACATTAGCGAGGATACTTGTTACCTTCCTTCGTTATCCTGAATGCTAAGTGACCCATAGACCTTAGTCTCTAATTATTTCAAAGTGTGGGGAGCTATTGTTAAGGGGACGTGCAATATAGCGGAAGGCGAAAGTGGATGTCGCATCATACGGCAAGCGTCATTGCTACTACGTAAAATACAAGAACAGGGAGCGTGACCGAGGGTAGAAGGTGTCTTTATGACGTATGTTTGTGGTGCAAGGCGGTGGAATGACATAAAAACTCTTGAGCTTGACAGTCATCAGTCAGCTGGCTGAGCTATCTATTACCCTGTCGACGAGTTTTTCGTTCCCCAGATATGAAAAGCGTGCAGGTTGTTGATCAGAACTCGAACCACATCATGTGCGTTGTTTTTTATTAAATAGCTTTCTTATTGTGTTTTAGTAAAAAATCTTGTTTATATAAACCAGTTGGCGTAATTTGAACAATCTTGTTTCCCATTGCCAGCTTACGTAGTAGAAACTAAGTTAAACGTTACAAAAAAAATTAATAATTTAACACCAGTTTGCCATAAGTTCTAAAGGTGCTTTAAGCATAGTCTTCAGGAATCTGATTGATTGACTTTGTTATTAGTAATTTTCTCTGATTTTTAGGACTATCCAAGATCCCGCCAGTCAGAGATTAACCTGGAATAAACCACCTCTGAGTGTGCTTGTTATCAAGAAGGTGCAGGACGTCTCGGTTATTCAACCGTTCATTGATTTATTGAGTTGGCTTATTTTTGTAAGTTTTGAATTATATTATTTACTTTTGTGAAAAATATGTTTGTGTAATGATTCACGGACATTTTCGTGAGAGGGTTCTGGACATCTTTCACTTAGGAAGAATGAAATACATGGTATTTTGAAATTCATAAATTTGAGAATAATCAGTACAGAGTTTTGTGAAATAAACTATTCCGTTCCTTAGAATCTAATATGTAGCTTTTTCATTTATCATCATATAAAATCACCAAGTTCAGATGTTAACTTAATTGATGTAACTTTTTCGCAGGTAACAATGAACATTTTGTATCGTACTTTTAATGTTTAAAAGATATTTATGATCTTAATAATTTGTGAAGTTACTGAAATTTATTAAGCTCTTAGTTATCCAACAAATTTTGTTGTTGTTGTTAATGTAGTTCACTTTATTTAAACTTGTTATATCAAAACATATTTTGTTTAATTAAAAGCAATAATTTTAGAGGATAGTGTTTAAACTTAAATGTTTATAAAATTAATTTTTTTTAATACTCAAATTATTTCGAGTGCATTTTGATAAGTATTTTACTTTGGAGAATTACTTACTATCTAACATTATCAAAAATGTGTTAATTAATATGATACAGTTAAACAGTCATCCTCCCCAGTTTTAATGGTTGACGACTGTGGTTGTGTATTGTTTTCTGTTTATTACTGCCTGCATCAACTTCTCGTCTCCAATCCATTTTGTACTGTCATCGAACCAAATTTCGCCCTTCAGGATCTCTGTATATGCCCAAAGTAACACATCTTCCCTAACTTTTTGTCCTTGCACATTCCAATACTTTCTAGTTAGTTTTTCTTTCTGTATAGCTAATCTTCATCATTCATCTGTAACACTACATTTCAAATGTAATAATGTTGTGCATAATTTGAAATAATGTTTTGTTTTTAAATGTATCTGAAATATATTATTGTTGGCTGAAAATTTTTATTATTACAATTGGTGCCCGGTATGGCCAGGTGATTGGGGCGCATGATTCGCAATCGGAGTGTCGCGATTTCAAATCACCGTCCCACCAAACCAAACGTGCTTGCCCTTTCAGTCGCGGGGGCTTTATAAATTAAGGGTCAATCCCACTATTCGTTAGTAAAAGAGTAGCCGAAGAATTGGCGGTGGGTGGTGATGACTAGTTGTCTTCCCTCTAGGTTTTCACTGCTAAATTAGAGACGGCTAGCGCAGATAGCTCTCATGTAGCTTTGCGCGAAATTCAAAAGACAAAGACAGTTATTACAATTATCATCTTGTGTAAATAATTTTGGAAAGATGACACAGTATGTTAAGTGTTATTTGGTGAAAAAGAAGGAATCATCGATAGCCACGGCTGTTGAAATTATTTTAGGCAGGATTAGAGTAAAATAGTCTGAGGCCCTTTTTTTTCCATTTTATTAACTATATGTTTGTGCGCTAGTAATACCAAGTGTGAAGCGCGCTTTGATTCGATTTTATTACTTATCAAGATCTCTACCAGCTTACCCTCAAATTGATATTCTTTTAGGCAGGCTTAGAGGAAATTAATCTATAAGACCTTGGGTATGGTCAGTTACATTTGTCGAAAGGGTTTGACTTCCTGAGTCCAAAACTGAATTAGATCTCAAATCGGTGAAGAGATGGCAGAGCTATGATCTATAAGTTTGTAGTTGAGAAACAAACAAACTCAGAGCCGTTCTATGTTATGCATCGGCTAAAAATCGAATGTAAACTGTAAGCATTAGCGTTGTTTGGTGAAATCTTATGAAATCAATTTTGATTAAGAGTTAGATTAAGATCTACAGCACAGTGTGTGAAGTATGTTGCTTACTTCAGTGAGTAACTTAAGAGTTCGATATCGGAGAAACAACCTGTGTATTTAGGCCTGAGAAGGTATTGTTTTGGAATGTGAAATATTTTGTACAAGTGGATAATAAACCAGTTCGTCGTTGTTTTAATTGGACCGTGGAAGCAGTTTGGAGTGAGAAATGGAATATTTCAATTTCCTATATTTTCAAGTTTAAGAAAGTTTGAAGTATTTCAACATGGCTACACCCAAAGAGCAAGCAACAAGCATGCAGACTAGAGAAATTAAAACTGTAAGGGTAGAAAAGGAAGATCTGCCAGAGTGGTTGAATCAATTAATGCTGCAAATAAACCAACAGACTGTGTTGATAAATCAACAAACACAACAGTCAAATCGGCCCTATTTATAAACCAACAAATACAGCAGGTTAATGAAAAGAAATATCAACAAGCAGAAATACAACAAATCAATAAATACAGGAGATTACCCAACGGGTGAATTACCAAGCAAAAATATTGATAGAACAAATCAATAAGAATACTCATCAACAGGATCAAAGTCTTGAATTTTTGAAAACTGCCATGCAAAAGACTAAAGTAGAAGAAGCCATATAACAACAGGCTTAACAATATGGCAAAGACTTAAAAAAAATAAGCACAATAGCAGAAAAGTCTTGCATCATCTAGGTAATAGAATAGACAGACAGCTGTGTGATCAAGTAGATAAGTTAAATAATAAAATTTTGGAATTAGAGAAGAGAGTAGTCGCATTCAGGAACACTATGGTGACTCAGTATGAACAGACAGTATTTCAACATTCTCCAACCAGTCCATATCACCCAGAAATGGAAGAACAGACTTTACAGAACACTCTTGGACTCAGCCCTTTTGTATAACCTTTCCATCCATAGGATCAGTGTAGAACTCAAGTATGAAAAGAGTCTCAGAAGTTTGATAGATCTGGTTCTTTGGGAAGCATATTTCATCCAATTACACTTGTTGGCTAGAGGTAATGGTTGGCCAGAAGAAGAGTGTGATCCAGCTTACAATTAGTCTTTATTACAGGTCTCTGACTAGCACTTTAGAGCAAAGTTTGGGGGGCTATATACCAAGAAGAAACATATCGAACCAACTTCAGGACAAGAGTGAGACAACACTGGAAGCCACTACAACAGTTTGTACAGGAATTAGAGAGGCTTGCCCATTATGCTTAATCAATTGCAGAACCAATCCTATTAAAAGTGTTTTACAGATTCAGTTCATTGATGCTCTAGATGACAGCAGATTAAAAATCCACATTAAATAAGTGGGGGAAAAAAGGGTCATTACAAAAATGAGCATTGATCCAAGAAGATGGATGTTCCAGAGATAAGGGCAGCATCAGTTAAACTTTAACTATTGAATACTGATCTTGTGAAGCCTAGATCAACCAGTTTTAGACAAGTCCCACCCATGAACAGTGGAGAGGAAGAAACTTCTGTATATGACATACTGGTGTCAGGAGAGATTGATGTGAGATGACTGTAGATACTGGATCCAATCAGACATTGGTATTGAATGGTTCTGGTGAGGTTAATGTGAATATCCAAGATTGTGTGGGTATGCAGAAGGTCTATACTACAGACACAGAAGATAAATGTCTCTTAGGACTTGACTTTCTTATTAAAAATTTTTGAAAGCTTGAGTTTGAAGAGTTGATGCTGGAAATGTATGGGAAGAAGCTGCCACTAAGGTGGCTGAAGAAATATTGATCTATTTCGAGGGACATCACTGGGTTCTGTTTTCAAGGAACTTGTGGTTGTGAAAAGACATCCTGATATAAAGTTGCCAGATAAAGTATATGTTAGTTCTGTAGTGACACCTAACAATTATTTTTCTATAGTTGTGACAAATGTCTGAAATAGCACTCACAAGTTGAAGTATGGGCAAAGAATTGGACAGTGTGAACTGCTAGAGATTGTGGACTCTTCATCAGAACAACAGAAATGTCAGTCTGCCCAGATCATAAAAATAACTGAAGACCTTCAAATGCATCTACAAGACTTGTATGTATCATCACTGGAGCAGCAAGAAGTGAAACATCTACTTAGAGCCAGTACAGATATCTCCTCCAAATGTCCAAATGATCTTTACAGTGCCTACATTACAGAATATTGAATTGATACTGGTAACAAACTCCCTATTAAGCAACCACCAAGACAAAATCCCTTTATAAAAAGAAAGAACACTAAAACGATTGTCCAGAACATAAAACATCAAGGACTTATTGAGAAGTCAAAAAGTCTAGATCTTCAAATATGCTGGTCAGAAAGAAAAATAGATGCACTCGATTTTGTATTGATTATCATGAACTTGATGGGATTACAGTGAAGGATTCATACTTTCTTCCAAAGATTTATGACACTTTAATGCTTTGGTGGGCACCAAGTTGTTTTTTAGACTACCATCAAATGAACATTACAGATGAAGATAAGGAGGAAACACCATTTTCCTGTAGAGGATTGTGACAATTCAAACTGATTCCTTTTAATGTATATAATGCTCCAACAGTACTGGAATGACTAGTATTGGATGGTCTACATTAGAAAGCCACCCTTATGTACCTTGATGATATCATTGCCTTTGGAAAAATCTTTCAAAGTGTAGTAAAAAGATTGCTGAAAGGCTTACAATGATTACATAAAGCTCACTTCAAATCAACTGCCAAGAAGTGCTAGCTATTTCAGAAGGAGGCAAAATGAAGATGGTGTCTGGACATATCCTGAAAAAGCTTCAACTGACAATTGGCTACGACCTGACAATGCAAGTCAACTAAAAAGTTTTCTTGGCCTTTACTTATTACTAAAGATATTTTCCGAGATTTACACACATAGCCAAACCACTTCACGATCTAACAAAGGATGGATAACCCTTCATTTTGGATAATGCTTGAAAGAAGCTTTTTAGTATCTTAAAAAAGCTCCAACTTCAACACCTGTCTTAGCATTTCCAGATCCAGACCAACCTTTCATACTGGATACAGATGCCAGTAATATGGAATTGGAGCTATGCTACCACAAAAACAACAGGGACAAAAGAATGATAAATATTACAAGAGAACATTGATCAAGCTTGAATGTAATTACTGTGTTATCAGAAAAGAATTGTTGGCTGTGATGAATGCTTTACATAATTTTCATCATTATTTTTATGGACAACCTTCTTGATTTGATCAGATCATGTTGAATTACACTGGTTTTGTAACCTGAAAACACATCAGGGACAGTTAGCCAGATGGATTGGATAGCTGGACTAGTACCATTACCAGATTGAAAACTGTGAAGACAGGGTTCATGGTAATGCAGACAGTTTTAGTCAGTGACCTTGCCCAGAACAGTGCAAGTATTGTGAGAAGAAAGAACTATTTTCAAAGTGTTGACAAGTTGCTTGTTCCAGAAATAATGATCCAAATACCAAGTTGTTTTAAGAAGAGAAATAATTCAGATATGAGACCCATTATCACATACATGGAGCAGTCACCAGAAAGATGAGCTTGGGAGAAGATATCTTATATAAGTCCCAAGAACAAATCATAGTGGGCTCAGTGGAATATGTTGAGTCTATCAGTCCAGTATATTACAGAGAAGATGGGAAAATGCAGATGGTACAAAAAGAGTATTGGCAACTGGTCATTCACAAGACAATGCAAGCAACCATTTTGCGAGAATCACATGATGGCATCTCAGGTAACAATCGCAATGAAGAACACACTTGTTGAACTTCAGTAAATGTTCTACTGGAGTGGTAAAAGAAGAGATGTTGAGGAATGGTGTCAAGAATGTAAAGTATGTGTTGCAAAAATGTGAACATCAAACTAAGGAGAGCAACAATCGAATTGTACTAGGTTGGAACACCAATGGGGAAAAAATAGCAATTGCCATCATGAGATCCTTTCCGAAACTGATACTGGAAAAAGTGTATATTGGTAGCTAATTATTATTTTACGAAGTGACCAGATGCTTATGCATTCCCAAATCAAGAAGCAGCCACAGTAACAAATTTGTTATTGATCAGTTCATTACAAGATTCAGCTTACCTTTGGAACTTCACTCTGAATAGGGGAGAAACTTTGAGGCAACAGTATTTAAGGAATGCTGTGAATTACTGGACATAAATTAAACCAAGGAAACACCATTACACCCCCAATGAGATGGAATGGTAGAATGTTTCAACCAAATACTTAGCAGACAATGTGCCAAGTTTAGTGAAAAAAAATCACAGCAATTGGGATCTGAAATTACCAGCACTACTTATGGCTTACAGGACTTCTGTGCATTAAGTTAAAGGCTATACACCAACCACAATGATGATTGGACAAAAACTTCTACTACCAGTGGATATGACCATTGGATGCAACCTGCTAGTTAATAGTACTGGATTTATGAGGAATTTGCAGGAAAAACTGGGAGAAGTGCATTAACACCTAAGAGGGAACCTCGGCTTAGATAGAGAGACAATGAAGCAGCACTGTGATGCCAAGTTGCATTCACATCACTTGAACATTGGAGACCTTTTATAGTTTCATATCCCTTGTAGGAAGAAAGTGAAGTCTTCAAAGCTGCAGAATGACTGAGAAGGACATTATGGATTCAGTCACAGTGGCAACTTTCAGATGTCACATACTGGATAAAGGGTAATTATCAGATGTCCAAGACTGTTTATGTGAATCAGCTATGGAGGTGCTACCTGGAGATGAAGAGCAAGTCCTTCAAAGAATGACTAATTGGAAGTGAAAAGAACCTCACCAGTCAAGTTAGGAGTTAACAAATGGACTTTTAAAATAATTTAAATTGTTTTTTATCCATTTATTTGTAAATTCACTGGGTTAGTTTAAATTTAGGCAAGGGCAGTGTTGTGAACAATTAAAATAATGTTTTGTTTTCACATGTACCTGAATTATATTACTGTTTGTTGAAAAATTTGTAAGTGATTTTGGAGAGAGGGCACTGTTGTTTGGTAAAAAATCTGATGAAATCTTATATAATGTGTTTTTCAGTTTTGATTAAGAGTTAGATATATATATATATATAGCATAGTAAGTGAAGCTTTTGAGAGTCTTATTGTCTCTTCGGTGAATCAATTAAGAGACCAGTATCAGAGAAAGAAATTTATTGTGTAGATAGGTCTGAGTCTGGTACTGTCTGGGAAAGTGAAATATTTTGTAAAAGTGTCTAATAAACCAGTAATTCAAATCAACACAAAGACTGTTCATTGTTGTTTTATCTGGACCAGTGTAACAATAATATATCAATTGAGTTTGTATAAAACAGTTTCAATTGTAAATTTTAGCAGAAAGGTTAAAGTTGTAAAAAAAAAAAAAAAAAGAATAAAAAAGAGGCTTGAATACCACTATTTGTGTTTAGAGGTTTAAGTTATCTGTTAAATTTAGTCAGTCTGATGAATGGAAAGTTGTTTTCTGCCAGGAAAAACGAATGGTCGTGTTTGTTGAAGCTTCTGTCCTCGATGATGTGCAGTTGAAAAACAACACTTACTTCAACCCTGTCAGAGATAAACTTTGTACATTTAAAGAAGGTCAGTGTGCTTCTCTATTTTCTGTTTTTATAATTTTTTGGTAGTTTCCTACAATTTTAAAATGTCAAGATATAAATATTATTTTGCAAGTTTCCACTTTTATGATTACTCTAATTTATTTTTCTATGATGTAACTTGCAGAAGCTGACAAAGTATAAAGCTCATTAAGGGTGATAAATCCAATGAAATGTTACAATAAATGTTTTTTATTTATCACACCTCTAGCCAATGAAATGTTACAGTAAATGTTCTTTATTTATCACACCTCTAGCCAATGAAATGTTACAGTAAATGTTCTTTATTTATAACACCTCTAGCCAATGAAATGTTACAGTAAATGTTTTTTATTTATCACACCTCTAGCCAATGAAATGTTACAATAAATGTTTTTTATTTATAACACCTCTAGCCAATGAAATGTTACAATAAATGTTTTTTTATTTATCACACCTCTAGCCAATGAAATGTTACAATAAATGTTCTTTATTTATCACACCTCTAGCCAATGAAATGTTACAGTAAATGTTCTTTATTTATAACACCTCTAGCCAATGAAATGTTACAGTAAATGTTTTTTATTCATCACATCTCTATCCAATGAAATGTTGAAATAAATGTTCTTTATATATATCACACCTCTATCCAATGAAATGTTACAATAAATGTTCTTTATTTATCATACGTCTTTTGCTTTTCTTAGGTGAGTTTTTTTAGTAAAGTCCATAATAGCATTTTCATTACATATTCTTCTCTATTCATATGCTTTACAAGGTCTTTCACTCCATACCAGAGGTGAGAAGGCCTAACAGAATTAGATATTTATCAATTATTTTAAACAAGATTTAATATTAAACCCAAATGGTTTGATGAACCCTGCTGTTAAAAATAGAGGTTTTGTGAGCAGTTTAATCGATAATGAAATGCTTTTCTGGTTAGAAACTTGTACTGCATCAATTAAGAGAGAATTCAAAATATTTGTAATTTTGGTTTAATAAATGTGTAGATTCTCTTTCAAACCTGTATAATAACAAACTTGTTATAGATATGTTTAACTGTGGGAAAATGGCTTGTTCATGTATACCACAACTGTTTCTTTGATTAAAGAAAAAACTCTTTTCATTAATTTTTAATTCACAAATACATAGTTCAAATATTATTGTTTGGTGATTTTTTGCTTGAAAAGTAATTAATAAACCAAACCTTTTCTGTGACTCCAATTTGATTATTAAACAACTTTTTAATATTATTTTTACCTAATGACTCTTTGTACCATGTACTGTCACTTAATTCTCTGTTTATTTGATTCATATTCCTTTTTATGTAATTTTATTGCCAAAAAAAAGAAAAGAAAAAAAGACAGATTCATAAATTTTGGAAGTTATCAGATAAATGTAAATCTGGTTTTACAATATCAATTTAAGAATCTAAAGTTACTTTTTGTCTCATAATTTTAAAAGAAAAACATTTTTATATAAACATTTCAGGGAAAGATGATCTCACGGACAAAATAGATTTCATCATTTGTCTTGGTGGAGATGGGACTCTCCTTTATGCTTCTTCATTATTTCAGGTACATTTAATTATAAACCAAGTATGAAACTGTAACAGTGATGTTTAATACCATACAAATGATAAACCAAAATAGTGATGTAGTCAGTTTTATTCTAAAATACTATGTAATGAGATCATTTACAAAGAAGACACCTTGTACAAGTTCGTTAAAATAATTGTTATAAAAGAAACAAATTGAAAGCCAAAGAACCAAAAGATTAACATGTACTTGTTGGTTTTTGAATTTACAGTTTCTCTCTGAACAGTTAGCTAGTAATGAAATCGATTTGACTATAACTAGAAAATTAAACACACACACACACACACACACTTGAATTAAGGAAAAGGTTTCAACTGCACTTAATCTGAATATGAAAGTTCAACAGTTGTCTGCACAAATATTTCATGTTTTCTGTGGTGGATCTTGTGGTAAGAGAAATTTTATGTTTTTTGAAACAAAAAGAAAAAGATTTATGGAACTTCAATTTTAATACACATTTTTTTTAATTTAGTAAAAACAAAACTTTGTGTCTTATTTACACTAGCAAAGTGTCCCTCCAGTGATGGCTTTCCATATGGGGTCTCTAGGATTTCTCGCTCCCTTTGAATTTGCAAACTTCCAAGGACAAGTTACCAGTGTTTTAGAAGGTATGACAAAGTAGTTGAAAATACAAAAGTTGTTAACATTTTTACAGGGAGAAAATTTTCAAGCTTTAAGACAAAGATTGATAATTTTCTTTACTGTTTTAGCAGTATTTAGATTATGTCCCAGTGTAATCCTGCGTATAACTCTTATTTGAGAAAAGTACTTTTTTGGAAGACTAATACTCTTCTTGTTAGTCTAATATTTCTTTAGAGTAAATTTATATTAATTGTGTGTATAGGAAATACACAGATTAAAGTAATGTGATCGTATGTACTGACATGTGCTCATGCACACACACAGATACTTAAGGAATGCCAGTAATATAAAAAAAAGATATCTTTATTCACATACGTATAAAAAATATTCCAAGAATAAAAGTAAAAAGAGAATAAAAACCCAATGAAAATTAATAAATTTGCCTTTTTAATAATGTACAATGATTTTATTTAAACTACAATAAATAAATGTAAGTAACACTATAAAATATATGTGCAGAAAACAATTCACCTACTTAGATTTTAAAGATTAATTTGTTTCTACATAATTGTATTTATTATACCTATTTTAATTTAAAAGCTTTTATTCCCATTATTCTTCAATTTATATGGCAGGAACTTGTATATTAAATGTAAGAATATTTGAGAGAATATTTTGAAATTAACTATGATAATTGTGAATAAGCAAAAATTAAAATACGATCAAATGGAGATATGCATATAAAAGGAAAAATCGAAATTGTTCACATCATATCTCTGAACTTATTCTCTTACAAAGTTTTTCCCCTACATCAGGTAAAATATGCACATTTGTTAATTGAATTAATGATAAATAAAATTAATTTTTAAATTGTTGATAATAAATCTAATTGTTTTTAGTGAGGTTACTTATTAAGTAGTTAATGTAAACAGAATCACTCCTAAATTCCTGTTTACATTTGTATGCTACCTTAATTTCTCACACAGTTACATGTTCACTTACAGGCCATGTAGCTTTGACTCTACGTAGTAGACTTCGTTGTATCGTAGTGAGAAAGAATAGTGATTCTTTGGATAAAAAATCACATTCTGGTGTCCTGGTAAGTTGGTTTTATGTAAGATTTACAGTAAAGTGATAACAGTAAGATTTAGAATATTATATTGACTAATGGCTAAACACTTGTGCTTCTGTATTTAATGTATACAGTTGCTTTGAAGCTAGCTTTGTATGCATATAATACATTACTCCATTTTTCTTGTTTCTATTTACAGCATGATTTTGTACTATACTTAAGAAGGTGCTTGATGGAAGGGCTTCCATAGTATATGAAATCCTAAAATTAGATTAGTTAAAGAAAGAAATATACAAGTTACTTAGTTTAATTTATATTTAAAATTTTCCAAACTAGTTGATTTTTCAATGTTTGGAAAAAATTCACAGTTGCTTAGTTTATAAAATGGATTAAAGGACATGGGAGAAGGACAAAGTATATGAACAAAAATACCGTTGTCATGTAAATTGTTTGTATAAATGATTTCAAAATTTTAAATTCTGATGCAAAGAAGCTAAAAGTTTAAAATTATTTTTGATTTGTTAATTTTAATTGTACCCAAATAAGAAGTGTTTCGAAAATATTAAATTGAGCAAAAGAAACACTTAAATTTTGAAAGAATAAAACTAAGAGTAGATTTTGAAGTTTGATTTGTACAGACTTAAGCGTGCTTTGAATTTGATAAAAAAAAAAAAAAAGTTTTAAATTATTAACATTTTTTTTCTTCAGGTGTTGAATGAAGTAGTAGTTGACAGAGGCCCCTCTCCATATCTTTCAAATATTGACTTGTTTCTGGATGGGAAACACATCACCACAGTGCAGGGAGATGGTAAGAATGAAGTATTTTAGAACTCAATTTCTTCTAAACATATCTTAATACTTTCGTTAGCCTAAGTTAATATAGTCATGCATGTAGTTTAATTTCACTAGCATAAAAGTAGCCATTTTGATAGAAAGACACACATTTTGATAGAGATATGCATGTAGTTTTATTTCACACATGTGGAAATAGACATTTTGATAGACATGCATGTAGTGTTAATTTACATGTGTAGAAATAGACATTTTGATAGAAAGACATGCATGGAGTTTTATTTCACATGTGCACAAGTAGGCATTTTGATAGAAAGACATTCATGTAGTTTTTATTTCACATGCATGGAAGTAGACATTTTTTGTAAGGTGACCCTTGTATAAGTAAAGATACTGTTTTTAGGTGTGTTTTTGTTGTGTATCAAGTACACGTTGTTGATTATTTCTTTAGTGTTTAGTTGCATGGTGACCTATATTATTCACCAACTGGCTACTTTTTATTTTTGTCCTTTATCAAGCATATAAGAAAAAAAAGTAAGTAAAAATCTGAAAACGTTCTGGTATTAGCATATTGTGAATTATTTCATGGTTACAGAGTTAGTGAAACAAACTCGGACCAGATCCTGAAAAATATGTTTTTCCTGACACTGAGAGAGAGTTATTTATTTTTTTACGGTTCTGTTTAATTAATATTACTAATGATTATTATCTATATTACAAAACTATATACATGTAGAAGGAAATGTTTTAATGTACCTATATGTAGTATGAAAATGCACAATGAATATCTATATTCTTACTTCATTTATTTACTTTTAATTATTTAACTTAATAATAATATAATTATCACTAATAGCTGTATTCCCTCTTAGCATTGTCTTATTCCATGTAGCTGTATTGTTGTGTACCACATTAAGAACAATTTAAGTCGTTAGCTATTGTATTGATGGGTTTAACCAAGGCTTAATAAAGAGAATTTGCAGGAATTGTTCCCCAATATGTTTTTAATTATTTAGTTGATATTATTCTGTTTAATTATTATCAAACTTTTAACTACATTGTCTCAAAACTTGTATACGAATATTTGTACATGGATTGATTTAGTGAAGATGTGGTACTTGTACTAGACTGAGTGATGGTATGTAAGACAAAGTAGCAGTAATTTTAGCTAATTTGATGTAATTAATTATTATGTCATGATGTTATTTACAATGCTGATGTGATATGGACCAAAAAAAAAAGTCCACAATTCATTGTCTATTTTGCTTGAATAGTTTTCTTCATTACCCTTCAATCTATATTAGTATGGTTGTCAATTAACATTGAATGTTATTTAATGTCTGTAGTGCATATTGGAGTAAAAAAGACATTTTAATACTGGTAATAAACAACCTTATAATTACTAATGGTACTCAACATTTTGCTTTACAGCTTTTTCAGAAGCATTCCACTAAAACACAAACTGTAACTGGCATTACAAAGCTTTGTATTGTCAGTTACGTTTTGTGTTTCAGTGGACTGCTCCTAAAGAAGCTGTAAAATGAAACGTTGAGTGTCCAGTTAAAGAAAAATAACAAATTTGGTATTATAAAGTCGTTTATTACTAATATTAAAACACTCAGTGTTATCAGGCTGAAACATTGTTTTAATTTGAATGCTTTTAGTATAGGATCATACGTGTGTGTGTGTGTGTATATATATGTGTATATATATATATATATATATATATATA